AATTTAGGTTTAGGTAGTTTTTACCCTTGCGATAAGCAAGGGTATTGCAATCGGGTACCAGACTTTTTTACAGTCCATATACAACTTTGTTAGCAGAATGGTCAAAATTAGAAATGGTAAATTTAGGTCGAGTTGAAGATGAATTCCAATAGCTTTGCGTCTGCGGTACACTTGGTCTGGAGGTAACGAATGCGCCTGGGAGGGCACAGGTCCTGGGTTCGACTCTGACAGGACCTGTTTTTTTTCAGACGGGAAATGGTCCGTTTCAAAAAATTTGTCGGCTTATTATTGTCTGCTTATGTTTATAGTCGGCTTAGTTGCCATATCGTAGATTGTTTTTTAAAGTTTTTTTTGCTTAAAAACCTTATTCTGCCCAAATGATTTCGGCCGTTTTTATCGACTTAGTCACCTAATTTTGAGTTGTTTCAACGGAAACATATTTTTATGTCGCACAAAATAGAAATTATAGTTCAAGTTCTTCATTTAAGGAATTAATTTTTGTTTTCGGCTGACCCACGTATTGCCGGCTTGGTGGCGCGCCGCTCGGTGAAAACTGGAAATTATATTATGATGTTTGTTGTATTTCGCTCATTCTTCTGCGTATTGCTCTCTCCCAAATAAAGATTGTTACTAGTAGTTGCGGCTTTCAGTCATTTTGGGGCTTAAATTGTAGGGTTTTAATACTTCTTTCGCCAAAGTCAATCCGATCAATTTTGGGTACAAACGAGTTAAAGCGAACTTTTTTTAATTGACTAACGAAATTTAACAAAGAAATGTTCCTTGAAAATGTGCAATTTGTCTCTGTGTAATTTTATCTAGAAACCAAAGTTGCTGTTTTTTTTGGAAATAGCACAAGATTCCCATCACCGCTATGGCTAGAAAAGCTTTTTGAAACATAATGTTCAAGTAGCTCGAGTTTTGTGAACCGCTCAATTGTTACAACTCTGCAGCTGTTCAAAAAATTTCTAATTCCTCGGCGTTGTTTTGTTCCGACCCTGCTCTATATTTTCCGCCCAATTTGAGGTAGGTAAAGGAAATCGCAATAGGGTGATTTCGAATTTATCAAAAAATTAAGTAAAAAAAAAACTGGTCTGTATTTGAAAAGATTTGTAGTTTTTTGCCTCGCTCAGCTAAAAAAATAAGTAAAGAGACATAAGTTTAATTTTGAAGATAATTGAAGTTGTCACTTTTATTTAGGTGGCACCTTTTTAACTTGTTTATCATGTATGAGGCATGTTAAACATGTTTATCAAGTCTGAGGCAGCACCTGTTAATCATGTCTAACTTATAGTTTCGATAGTCCTCCAAAAGTAAGCTGTGAATGGTTTAAAAGTAGCCGAACAAGAAAGGTGTTAAGTTTGATCACGTCCATTATTTCCACAAGTGAGGTTGTGAGCATAGTGTATTACCTTGACTCTACTTTTTATCCAACTTAACTCACAAATAATATTGCTCATTTGGTGGCACTTTTGCTATAATGACAATGTGCTGTAGCCTAGGAAATTTCATATCATCTGTTATTTGCTTTAATTGTGGCTAATGTTTCTCGTCATTCAAGCGTCCATGGCTAAGAGGGAAGACGCGAGACTCCATATCTCGAGGTCGCAGGTTCGAATTCAGCAGAAAGCAAAAGTTTTACTATTTGAAGGCATATTTTTATCCTTTTTTTGTTTCACTTTTTCGAGCTGATTTTTTTTCGTTTCCTCGTTTGTGTTTGGAAAGCGCAGCCTCGTCTCTGTCTAAAATTTGGAGCTATTTTTTTATTTCTTCTGAATTTTTTCTTGAACTGTCTTTTATTTAAGTTTCTGGAAGTTTTATCTAAGATATGTTTTTTTAGCTAAACTTTACACAAGTAACGCTTGTGTTATGAGGTCAATTTACTTATTAACCCAAGCTAGTTCCCATTTTTTTCTTTTTGGAGCTCATTCATTTTCCAGATATTCATTTTCCAAGTTGAGCTCAAGCACCAAAAGTTAAACTTGACTTTTAGTTCAAATGTAGATTTGATGTTTATGGTTGCGAATAGCGAGCGTTAAAAAATGGGAGCATAGACTTTTTTACGCTTGCGATAAGCAAGCATTATTTCAGATTTGTAATTTATTAACTGAATCATTAAATCGTTTGATCTCGATGTAACGTTCATGGTACAACGATGAGTCGGGGATCGAATCCGGTCCGGACCCGCTCATTTTGGAAACTGGCTTGAAAAAAAATAATTGCCAGCCTATCGTTTGTCTTTATTTTGTCGGCTTAGTTGCTGCCAAAGAGGTTTCTTAGTTTAAGCAATTTTCACTGTGCTTGAAAGTCCTTTTGATGTTTTCATGTTATGGAGCAGGTTCTTGAATTATCCGAAATGTTGCTAAATTTTTTGTGAAAAAAAAACAAAGTTTTTTGATATACGATTTTAAGAGAAGTTTTTAGTTTGTCTTTTCATTCTCCTCTTCATGGGGCAATGAAATGTCCTCAATTTTTACATTCGCCGTAATGATTTTATCTGATTGCAGAATTTTGAGAAATGCTTCTTTCGCATGGTTTACTTTTGTAAATGTGCTTTAATGACTCATTAGTGTGCCAGCCAGAGAGTGGTTGGATTGTACCTTGTGAAAGGCTCAGAAGTTTTTCAAAAACTTAAATTTCGAGCAGTCATTTAGTTTTTCTGGGCCTCAACACTGGCAGATGTTTTTGTACCGATATGTGAAGCTCTACTTCTCCTCTTTGCTAAAATCTCGAGTGACTGAAAATCTTATCAATTGACCCGGACTTTTGAATTTGAGTTGGGTCAATAGAAATGTTTAAAAATTTGTTTCGATCAAAAAAGATCATTAACGGAGTATGTTCAGAATTTGACTGAAATATCTGCTAGTCTTATCGGGGAAAATTTTTGTCGGTTAGAGTATCAAATGAGTCACAGCATTTAAAAAAATAGTATTTTTATGCGATACGTCTTTTCCTACCAGTTTTTTTACTGGAAACCAAATAAAAAGCGTTCTAGGAAAAATCGACTATGCCACAGTCACGGGGCAAAATTGCAGCTTTTTGTTTTAAATCGTTGAGATATACAAATTTTTCTTCACTCATGCTCATGTTTCTTTTTTTTGCAAATAATTAAGATGCAACGCTGAAGTTTGACATTTGATTGATGAAATGTTAAACATAGCTTGCTGGAGTAATTCTTTTTAGATGCGATTTTTGGCGACTTGTTTAAAGTTGTTGCAGACTGCTCACTGCCTCCGTAATAATATAATATTCTTGTTGTAAGCTAGTACGATAATTCAGTGCTTTTTAAAAGGCTTTGAAGACTGCGAGCTGTCGTCTCAACCTCGCTAGTATCGTTAATGGATCATGGAAAACGCTTTCATGCAAATTGAATTGACTTTTTTTTACAAGATGCGGGGATTACGAGGTCTAATCGCATATAAAAACTGCTCCCTCAGATTTGCTTTTCCCCATTGTAATTATTAACTGCTTAATGCAATTTAACCACTTACGGTGTTTTTGATCAGATAGAGGAAAAAATGTCGTTATTGACTTGAAAGAACATCTTCTATTGGCGTTTTTTATTATTTCGAGATAGCTGTAAGACACTTTCACCTCTATCTTGCAAAATCAGTTATTATTCCTAGCTGCAGTAGGGCAGAAAACTCCTATTTTGCATTCTTGATTTTGTTTTGTTTGCATTTCTTTGATTTCAGATTACGTCAAATAGGAAACAGTTTGAAACGCATTCGATTATATAAGACTTGAAACTCGGTTGATTCAGTGGTTTCTGCCTACTTCATTTGAGGTTAAGCTGCACTGAGTTATGTAATATTTCAGACTAGTATGATTTGATCGTGTTGCGCGTTGAAAGTACGAGGGATCAGATTTCACTGCTCTGATGGGCTTGCCATTTGAAGCATACACCGAAATCGTAGCGTAGGTAGCTCCAGTAGTTCCTATCAAAGCTTAAGTCCCCGCCTGTCACCTGCGGTTACAGTGTTTTAACCAGGGTAGCTGAGAAGTCTAAACGTCAACTGTGGTAGATCTACTCGAGTTGGTCTATTTGAAACAGTTTGATTAAAACCGCAGTTGGAGCACTTGTTATTACTTGACGGCTTATCCTATCAAAAGACTACTTAAAATTCAAACAGGCTTCAAATTCAGTCTTCAAATTAGTTTACTTGACTTGACAATGGTTCAGGGATCTCTAGAATCTGAACTAGCCGGTTTCCGACTTGCCAATATCAAATTTAGTTCGTTTCTAAATAAGCAATAATTCAATAACTTACCAAACCTCGATTCGATATTATTTAATTAGCGTGATTGCTAAATCAGTATTATTGACATATCTTGGTATGAACAAGAGGCGAATCACTCAAGAGGCGAATCCACTAGCGGGCGAATGACACTTTTTTAAACTGACAATTTTAAATCACTCGTAGACAGATAAAATTGGATAAAGCTTCTCAGTTTTTGCTGCGTATATTAGATTGATCTATTTACTGCTCAATTAACTATTCTTTGTTACATTTGACTCTTCAGGCAGAAAAACAGAAAAAAAAATAGTCTATAAAACATATTAAATCGTGTTTTACTTTGTTGAAAATTCAGCGATTTGGTTTGCCTTTAACAGCCAGAAAAATTGCCAGAAAAAATCTTGAAAAGCAAGATACCACATGAATTACGTACTCTGACACATTCGATCATGTGCTTCTCTTTTCAAAAGTCTTGATGATTCTAGACTTGCGCTTGAAAAATTTGGACCAATTAGAGATATCGATTGACTATTATCTCATCTGTTTTGTGCATCTTAATCGGTACACACCGGCGAAATTGTTCCACTAATACCGCTTTTTCCGACAATATTGCAACATTATTTTTTATTAGAACCGAAAACACACAGTCACCAGACCGTGATCGATCAATCACGTCTCTGGCGCCGCTGAAATCCAAACGGTTACTCAATCTTCAGTTGTACGCATTGATTAATATAGACTTGATAGGAGAACAGACACACTGCTATGACTGTGGCGAAAGTGAAGACAGTCAAGACGATTCCAAAAGGATGGACCGAATTGAAACCTTACAACGAGACGATCGACGTTTTCCTCCCGTTCAAAATACCGATCAGAGGAGAGCATCAGAAACACTTTAACGAAGACGACAAGTTCACTTGGACCCGATTTCGGGAAAAACTCGAAAGGTCAAACATTCGACTAGCTGCCATCATCGACTTAGTGCCCCACTCGCAATATTACTACGTGGACGAAATGGTTGAAGGTATGGGCTTGGTTCCATATTACAAGCTGGGTTGCAAGGGTGGGAACCATTTGCCAAGTGATGCCTTGTTTGCCAGGTTTTCGGAAACTGTACATCATGTCATATCTACTCGCCCACAGTGGGGTGAAAACGACTTCATCGGGGTGCACTGCTGCAAAGGCGTGAACAGAACAGGGTTTATGATTTGTAAATATTTGATCACGCATCGTAACATGGAGCCTTCGAAAGCAATTGATATGTTCACGAGCAAACGCGAATGCGGGTTTGATCGCGAAAAGTACGTTGACTATTTGATGAGCTTGGGACCCAGTCTAAAAGAGATGAAATCTATTTCGAATCCGAGCGAGTCGATTAATGAAAACGTATCTGCAATTATCACATCACCACAGCCTACGACCAAAACAAGATGCAATAGCTCTGGCTCCGACAGTTCCAAAGAAGACAACCAAATAAGGAAAAATTTGTCAATCGAACATTCCGAGTAAAGTGACAGTGACGTCCCGCAAAATTATTTTTGTTCATTCTATTTTAATATTTTTGTTAAACATAATATTGTTGCTCTCATAACTGATAACGCAGTAATATTTTAGTCAATGTTAATTCAAGCTTCTGGTCGCAATATTTTCAAGGTTAAAAAAGTGTACGTTGGAAAATGGGTCGAGTTTTTTGAGGTGAAAATAAAAGCTACGCGTTTAATTCGATGTTATTTTCCGAACTATAATTTCTTTCACAATTATTCGAAGTTTTATAAGTTTTCCGTAATTTTCATGGTCCAATTTCAAAGCTAAGACCAATTTTTTCAGTCAAAGGAAAGACTATTAGCTCACAAAGTATAAAAAATAGTCGTGAACTATCAAAATTTTTTAAGCAGTTTTGAAACTCCTTGTAAGTTTACATATTGCAGCGTTATCAAATCGGAACAAATAAATTTTCTCCGTTGAAGAATTTTATAACAGTATCAGTGAATCATTTGATAACTTAGTTTCTAATTTAGTTTAGTTCTGAGTTAAATCACATGCTTGTAATGACAAGGGTTCTGGGTGCGCGCCTCACTCGGAACACGTGTCTGTAATTCTTTCTTGCAATTTTTTTTACTGTCTGATTATTTTTGTTGGCTAAATAAACGAAGCATTGACTATTCTTAGTAGCATTTCACACTTCTACAATAGGGCCACTTTTTAAATTTTTATTAAACAGCGAACGTAGGGTTCTGTTACATATCCATGTTTTTTGCTAGCCCAGCTCGCAAATGAAATTGCTCATTTCACTTTTTGCCTTGTGCAAGTTCGCCTGTGTAAAAATAAAAAAAATTGTGATAATTCGTTTAAAATGTATCAACCAAAAATGCCGGATTTTTTGTTGCAATTAAGTTACCTGTAGATCTTTTGAACCAAATAAATTCTAAAAATTCAATGACTAAAGCCTTGTGTGTAGTTATTTTTTTTTATTTATCGTACTTCAATCTATTGATCACGCTTGCGATTAGCAAGCGTTATCAAATCGGAATGTAGGCTTTTTTCTGGTTAACAACTAGTTTAACAAAATTAATTGAATCAATTGCTGCTGAAATGCTCATTTTCATGAAATTTCAAATTGAAGTGCCTTTTTAAATGGCATTTATTTTATCTGGTACTATTTTTTATCTGCCTGCTTTTTAAAGCATGGATTTTTAATTTTTTTTCTACTATGGTTGAAATAGCTGTCATTTTATTAAGTCTGATTTCGAATAATTTTGTGTTTTAAAAAGTTTTTTTTTCGATTAAATGGTTTCGCGGCTAAGGTTGTATTGGCTTAGTCAGATTATATTGCGTCGTTTTGAAAGCTGGCAAGTTCCTTTTCGAGAAAAATTAAATATTACAAAAATGTATTGGATTGGGTTTTTTCATTTTTTTAAACGCTTTCGAATTTTTTCTTTGTTTTGCTAAATTTGATTTTCAAAAAAGACGTCAATAAAAAAAATTCCTGCTCATCTGTGTGACAGCACAATCTTCTAATCTCTTTTTGCCTCACCCCCTTACTCACTACAGCGTTTGAAAAAATTTGGGTGGAATATTTGACCCAAATTTGAATTTTTCTCGTTTTCTCAAAAACTACTCTCCCAAATGAGAATTTTGAGTTCATTGAATAGAACTGTTTGTCGATTTTTTCCTCGCGCATTCGACTACGCTCAATTTTTCTTTTATGCAACAAGTTGTGGCTCTCAATATTTTCATTTTCAAAATTTCGTTTTTCCGTTTTTTTTCAATGTTTTTTTTTGTCTTTTCTCGAAACTACCAAGTCTGAAGTCCCAAGTCTGAAGCTTTGGCTTTAATCGAATTAATGGGTCTTGGGAAGCTGCCCTGAATAATCGACGATGTCCAATTTTTTGAAACACAAAAGTTATGGCCCTCTAAAAAATTAGTACTTGGTTTTTGTACCGTTTTTTGAAACTTTTTGATTTGACTCGAAAACTACCCTCCGATATATTGAGTTCTGGTGTTCAATCAAAATAACAGGTTGTTTGAATCTCTTCTGCATAAGCGGCTTTTCAAAGATATTAAAAAAAAGTGTTAAACAAAAGATATAGCCCTTGGAAAAGTTAATACTTGGTTTTTGTACCGTGTTTTGAAAACTGTTCTCGATAACACCTTGCTAATTCTTAGGTTAAGCGTTCAATCGAGAAACCCGATTTTGGAAATTTTTTCTGCTTAAGCGGCCACAATTTTTTTTTCGGAAAAATCTGGAGTTTTTGATCGTTTGACCATTTTTTTAAAAAAATTTTTCGACTTTTCTTGGAAAAACTACCCTATGAAATTTTAGACGAAGGGTTCAATCGAAAGAACCGCTTGCTATAATTTTTCCTACAGAAGCGGGGACTCCTCAGTTTTTTGTAAGAAAAATGTGATATTTCAGGGAAGATTCCTATTTCTCAAAGATGTTCAGTCTTCTCAATTATTTTAGTAGAGAAACAAAGGTTTTGAGCATAGTCTATTTTTTGAAATTACCCATTTTGTTTTGCATCATTATAATAAATTCCAAAAAAATCAATCAGTTACCTCTTGCTTTAGCTGGGCCCCAAGTTGTTTTTTATCAAGATTTACGAACATTTTGGTTTACCTATTTTTTTGTTGTTTCTACTAAAGCAAGTGTGAGCGCAGTGTTATAATGTTAGTCTCTATACCTAAGCCTAACTCACTCATTTCAGTGATTTTTTTCTAAATACTAGTTTTTGAGGGACAAAATTGTAGCAATTAAGCCAAGATGTGAAAAGATATACTTGCAGTAATTTTTTTGTAAATTTACAGATTGACATTATCCTGGATTATTTTCAGCTCCATTTTCTGCACCTATCTCTGATGTCAAACGCGTATCTTTCGGCGGATATAAAGTATTTTTTTTAAAGCGCTCAAAAAATCACTTTCACTCGAGTAAAGGTGAGGTAAGCTAATTGGTCCGGATTTTTTCCCTCCAAAAGTCAAAAGAAAATTTTCACTTCTTGCTGTTTTTGGGAATTGGTTTTCTTCTTTTTTGCGTTTGTGAAGTGCAGCTTCACCCCTGCATCGAAATTTTGGATGATATCCATTTTTTGAGTTGTTTATGTCACAGAAAACTTAATTTGATGGAAATTGAATTTTTTCCAACTGTCTGCTGGCTATGTTATTGGTGGCTAGTTTCAGTAAAATTACAAGCGGTCGTGGAGGACGTGATACTCTTTTTTTCTTTCCGCGCACAATCAGCTACCACAAATAATCATCGGAGAGAGTTGAGTGATTGGAGCGACAATAAAATTTGGTTTGAAATTTTTGATTTTTGGTCAATTTTGAATGAGTGAGCAGGCTTACAATAGTTTACTATAATAGCTGAAAAGCTTTTTTTAGTATTTTTGCGCCTTTTCTGAAACAAAAACGTCAAAAAATTCAAAAAACCGCAATTTTTTGTTATTTTTTGTCACACCACGCAGAAAAAAACTTCTATGATTTGAAAAAAAAAAGTTTTTCTATTTTTTAAGACTATGGTCGGAATATTATGCGCTCTTTGCACAGCAACCGACTATCCTTGGCCTTATTTCACTTAGAGCTCGTCTTTGCATTTTCCTTGCGTGTGTTTGCAGAGCACAGCTTCGCCTCTGTGTAGAAATTGAGGACAAAGCTACCAGTGGTTTATATTTGAGGATGTTTCTTCTTGGTCAATTGGCGATAGAATTACATCTTAATTTTGATTTAATTTCATCTAATCATTGAAAATTGATTAATATGAATAGATGAGCGAAATAAAAGCTTGCTCAATGAAAAGTTCGCCCAAGGAAACTTCGCTATCAAAGGATGAGGCGTGAAATTAGAGCATGCCTTGGCCAAGTGGCGTATTTTGAGCTTGCCGCTTTTTGCGTCATCGCAAAGTGCAGCTTCGATTCTTTGTATAAATAGGTTTGTGGATTAATTAATCTAATCCCAACACATCTTCGCTCAAAGAAAACTTCAGGCTCAAATTTATTTTTTTTCGCGATTTGACTTTTGATTTCTTTTTAAGTTCAGTTAATTTCCTTTGTTACAAGGAAGGCAAATCCCTCTATCGAACAGCGAAGGTGTAAAAGTCACGAAAAACGTGATCGACTTCTAGTTTCGAAAGTGGAAGTAAAGTTTCAAATTTCCCAGGAAATAAAAACTTTTCTTAATTATCCAGTTTTCTCAAATTGGGTAATTTTATAGATAGACCCCCCTCCAAAAAAAATAGACAGACCAAATTAAGATATTCCACCCCATTATTTAATTCGCATCAATTTTTGGATTTGAAACGGCTTTGGGGGGAGTAGGATGTTAACTTGATCCAAAAAAAGTATCAGTCATATAGTTGTTAGTTTGTTATTTTTGAAAATAACATACAATTTGGCAACCCTGATCTTGAGAGTGAGAGATAGCGCGCTCCTCTGAATGCGGTTTTTCGTCAAAACGTTCCAAAAAGTGCTCAAAAGCTTCCTTTAAGGCTGTTTAAATATTTGGCTGTGCGAGCACGCAAGATCTCTTTAATCGACCTAAATGCTCTACCCACTCTCGAGGAAATCCGAGATCCGCGCATTGCTCTTTTTATGAAGCTTTTTTAGCGATTAGAGAGCATTTTGCTTAAAGATACACAACTTGTGTAAATGAATGCCGCTGACCGACTGCTTTGCGTGGCAGACAGTACATGCGAATTATTTGCAAACTATATATTATTCACTTGATTTATCAGCAGGCTCTTTAGACTAGACGTTGCAACGTTTCGTCAGAGAAATGAAAAATTGTCTGACTGATCGAAAATAGATATTTCTTATGTAATACGCAGAAATAAATTGTAGCTAGTGACGTATCAACTGATCCACTTGCATGCTCGGGGATTTTTTATCGGAGGATTGAAAAATTTTCTCGGTTTGAAGGCCAACCATTTTGGCTTGGCTTTTTTTCACTATACAGTTTTTTCCACCTATCTATCTTTACAGTACTGTTGTTAAAACTCATCAAAGAGAGCACTA